AACCTTCCTCCTGAATCCATTGAACATCTACTGTTTGAGTGTGACTGGACCTCTAGAGTTTGGTTCGGCCTAGACCTTAGTGTCCACTGGGGGGCATCTCCATTTATGTCGGTGGCTAGGAGATCCTCTATGGCCTTGCAACTAGTGAAGGATGCTAGTGGTAGACTGGAGGTCTTGGGGAAGATGGCAACTATGGGCTAGACTATTTGGAAGGCTAGGAACCACTTCATTTTTAACAGAGAAGATGTTAACGCCTTGGCCACCGTCATCCGAGCACATGGTATGTGGTGTGATCTTTTGAGATGTGGCTCCAACGATACGATGAAGGGCCAGGGAGGTTTAGTGACAAGGGGGGCAACTAGACAGGAAACAGAGGCGAAGGTTATTATATGTTGTGATGGAGCCTTCAAACGAAATTCTGCCAATGCTGCCTATGGTGTGGTGGCGTGCAAGGAAAGGGGAGAGATTGTTGGTGGCAATGCTAAGTGTTTCCCTACTAGATCGAGTCTACTTACGGAGGCAGAAGCAGTGAAACAAGCATGTATTCTGGCAGAAGCCCAACTGCTTATTAATGCTACAATTCTCAGTGACTATCTGAACATCATCAAGTTGTGCTCAAATGAAGAGGATTCCCTTGGGAAGTAAGTGTAATTATTAGTGACATTAGATAATTTGCTAGGATATATAATCTTAGCTTTTTACATAAGTCTAGGACCTATAATAAAGCTGCTCATTGGGTAGCTGCTGTTAAACTAAACAATTTGCTCCCACCAACTCAAGTTTAAGGCTTTCATTATGACCGATTGTAACTCGAATTTTTTAACTTAATGAAAAATTATGATACTTTGTTGATTGATCAAAAAAATAATGTTTTTAAATATGTCATTTTTAATGACGTTTTTTAAAATAAATTTTTAAACGACAACTAAACGACCTTTTAAATAAATAGTTGGTAGAAAACGTCGCTGCTTATTATCGCACCTCAAATTTTCCAAATCACAAAAACCTCCAACGATATACCCATCCTCCCCACTCCACACCTCCGACCACAAATACCATGCCTGTGCAGGCTCTCGTCTTCGTTTCCGTCTATATATACATCCCATTCACTCGTCGTTTTCTTCAAGGTTTCAATTACTCTTTTCGATTCTTCCATAGAGGAGCAGTTCTTGAAGGGTTTTAAAGGATTCATTCATCGTCGATCAGATAGCTTTATTTTTGAGATTGAGAGAGAAACAGAGAGAAAAATCAATTATGTTGATGTCAAAGTTCAGTTCTTTTGATGCCTTCTGTGCCGAGTCGTTTGGTTAGAAAGTCGGTTTTTCTTGGGCATCTGGTAAAGAGGGAAAACAACAAACGTTCGCGTCATCAATCCAAGGTATGAAGAAGGTTAAGGAGGGAATTCTGTCTAAACCACCGTCGGATGGTGATAAGTCAAGCAATCAACAACGACAGAGGAGGCCAAGGTTCGCGCCGGAGCTGGATGGCGTGCACTGTTTTGAAACCATCGTCCTATACTGAGATGCTGATTTTAATTCATTCCTTGTCCTTGGATCATTCGTTATAATATTTTCAAAATTTTTTAATACAATGAAACTAAAATTCTTTATTCTTGGATCAATTGTCTTTCTTGATTGCCGTTTCTTTAAGAAATTTCTAACTTTTTTCTTCTTCTATTTTATTTTGTGAGTGTGCGCAAGACAAAGAATTGGTCTTTTGTTTAGATTTTCTTACATCTATTTTGAGGGTTTTTTTTTGTGTCGCTTCTCAAATTTCTCTCCATCTTCGTTGTTTGTGGTTAAAAGCAGTGGAAGCTCATATGAGCTCAACAGAAGCCTAATATGAAAATACAGACGAATATAAACAAAATAAATAAGAAATAAAATAACAACACCCATCTTTCATGAGATGTGAATGACAAAAGCTCATATGAGCTGGTATGAAGAGGAACAAGAAAAAATCGATGGCTCCCCACATCCCTTGCCTTACTCCAAACTTTGCAATTTCCCATGGGATGCCCATATCTTCATGATGGAAAAGAGTCACCTCACACGATGTCAGTTGAAACTTCTGCCTAGGAATTTGCGAACGACTACATACAATACAGATAGATACTGGCAAGACTTGAATCACCCTACATTATCTTTCCAACAAAAGTTAGACTTCAAAGCAAAGAAACAAAATTTATGCCCCTTTGCAAAACTAACCAATTTCACTAGAACAGAAGGGCAGTCAACACATCTCGGTTTCTCTCGTATTGGAACAGAAGGGCAGGGCACACCCTGTTGAAAAATATAAAGGGACAATAAGAGAGGGAACTTCAAATTTAAGCAACTCAAACAGGCATAAACAAGATATATAGGACCCCTGCACTGATTGATGGACACAGACAAAATAACAAGAAAACCTTGTTATTTTATTAACTTGCAAGCTATAAAGTTCACCTGCAGCTGTTAAACATGGGAAGAAAAAGTAAGAGGAAGAATGGATAAAATTAATGTCATTGCAATATTGCTAAGTAAATATAGATTGGAATTCAATGAAATTCAAGTGTGCAAGCATCTACAAACTCAGCACTAAATCATCAATTACAACGATCCCCTTTCGAATTCGTACATCGATATTGTCGCAGTGGCAATCCTACCTTGTACAGTGGTTGAAACCTTGAACTACCCAGTTACAATAATGAGAGATCAGATTTCTGATTGAATTAATATTGATGCTCATAAATCGGCAAAGAAATGGTAAGTTGTGGAGTCTACTGCAATACGCCTCAAGGCAGCAACTGCTGCTGGACAGACATGCAACCGAGGTACATGTGATTTGCAAGGATAAACGTAAGCGGAAGATGATAGAAGATAATTCAGCTTCTGTAAAAAATTCACCAAGAAATGGCAGCATAGCAGCAACAAATGTGTTTATTGTTAGATAACCACCTCTCACCATAATTCTGAATGACAAGTTGCGAAAAGCCAATGCACTTCCTTTGATTCCATAAGTTGTGTCCATAAATTCGTACATTGGACTCGCAAATATCTACAAATACAAGATGGAGCTCAAAATTTAGTGCAACAATAAATCCAAAGGAACTGAAATAGGGGAACATGAAAAAGGAGCATGGTTGGACATTTAGGTCTCCAAGAAGATAGAAAAAGCAGAGTAAGGGGGAGGTGATTGTCACATGCAAAATTTGCATTCGAATGGATAAACTCAAATTTAAAATTGGACAAACCCACATCCCCTTTTTCTCTGAAGAGCTCAAGTTCAATGTTATTGATTTTCTCTTAAGAGCTCAAGAGAACTATTGATTCTTTTTCAGCCTTTCATGAGTTGGAGAAACAAAAATCTATAATACGTGAAACAATGTGAACCACCGTCAATGCCCCAAAATCATGTATTTAAAGAAAAACATATATTTAAAGAAAACATGCCTCAAATAAATTATAGAACTCACTATCACACCACAATTTGCATAACCATTTACCAATAAAATTCAAAACTCATATAACCTATACAATATGGTCAATAATGAAGAGAAAAATTGCACAATAACAGCTAAAGAGCTTCAATAAACATAAAGAGAAATAGAGACAACAAATCCAAAGTAATTAAAAGTCACCAAATCACACATAAAATAGTTAAAAAGTAAACAAAAAAAAATATATCTACAAACTCTAAAATATTACTTATTAGTGACTGGGAATCCAGGAGCACCTTCAAGCTAATGTGAAAATTGCATGCATTAGACAAAGTATTTTTTGTAGATTTAATCCGTGCAATGTTACATGTACATGTACAAACTCACAATAACTAAAAGACTCACAATCCCAAGTTATTGGCACATAATAATTGATTCCACGTATTTAATTTCAATCTTTGTCGTACAAATCACTACCCCAGAACATACGGGAAAAAAAAAGAAAAGAAATAAATGGCCTTCAAATTTTGAATGAGAAGTACAATTATAACCAAGTATGAAAAACTAACTGATCATAAATAGCATATTTAAAAAATTCTATTGTAAAAGGCCCAATGCAATATTAAACGACTTAATGAAACATACCTCAACATTTTTGTAACTCCTTAAACCATCAACAAAGTATATCAAAAAATGATTCCACTGTTCTTGCATCACTTACATGCCCAAAGACAACCAAAAGTTGTCATAGCAACATCATTGTGCCATTAAATACATATGAGAATTAACTTCTTTTAAGAACAAAATCACGTCTGAAATATTAATTCGAAGATAACGAATGATCATTCATGCAAAGATTCTAGGCCCACAAATTTATTAGTATCTCGGTTGGTTACTAAATAATAGATAACAACTATTCAAAAATCAATGGGAAGATATGACCCATGTAAATGGGGGACTGATTCAATTTTTAGATAATGAAAAATATAAGTAATTCCAGGGATGTGTAAATCATATCTTTAGGCAATAAAGCACCCCACCATATTCTATAAATGGCTACCACTTATCATCCTGTTGTCTGGCAATTTTTGTTAGGTAGTTGTAATGTACTCCCCAATTCATCCTTAAAGTCCAACACGATGATCCAAGAAGTAATTGACACCTAAAATTCCTTCCAGGCTCCCACTAAAAGCCCCAGTAATCAAATGAAACTATATACTAAAGACATCTCAAGACCCAACAAATCACACCCAAGTTCAAGCTTTTATACCATATCCTATAGAAATAATGCAACAGCAAAGTCACGGTGGTTGGAAAATAATGCTATAGAAATTGTTTAATTATCAATCCTCAATATGGGAATCTAAATTGCCCCAAAACAAAATTGCAAAACAAACCCACTATTTGACGGATAAGAAAAAACATTTAAATCATTTATCTCAACAATAGGTGAACGAAAGCACAAAACACATAGAATATGAAGTGAGAAGTGAAAAAAACAACAGATCCGCATGGTCATCAATACAACAAAGAAGCAAAGATCGAAAATGGAGAATGCTTAGTCTGGAATGGAGAATAGAGAATGCTCACTGCTCAGTCGCTAACTCGCTGGATGAACGATGGTTGGAGTTCGTCGGAGATAACAGTCGTTGAATGGTTGGAGCTCGTCGGAGAGGAGGCCGGATCTCGGTGTTTGGTGGAGGAGGAGAGGTCACAGTCGTTTGCGAGGAGGACAGGTGAAAATTTTTGAAAATTTTTAACGCAAGCAGTGACTTGAGAATTTTAAGGAGGGTGCTATAACGTTCAAATCGTTATCGTAAATAAATGACGTTTTTAAAAATATTTTTATATTTTAACGCCTGTTAACCGCCATTTAAAATTGATGTTAAAAAATATCACTATATAATGACATTTTTAAAAATATTATTTACAATGATGTTTTGAAGTAAAAAAATTTCACCCTTAAATTGTCATTTCAAATGACGTTTTATTATATATAAGCATCATTTTAAACGATATTTTTAAAAAAAAATTGAGTTTGAAAAATAAATCTAAAATTGATTGGGTCTAAAAATAAAGTTGTGAGGGAGACTGGGTTCGGAGAAAACCTCCCGGTGCCTAATAAGCACCCAACATTTGGACTTCCGTGTGCAATTGTTGTACTAAGAAGAGGGGAAAATTTGGCATTCATTAATGGTTGACTATATCTGACTTTAGCTAGCCACATTAATGCTCAATTAGCAACTAATTAAGGCTTGATGAAAGAAATTGAAGTGTGGTGCTCATTTAGGAATGTTGTTGCTACATCATCTCCTATAGATGTGCTATTCGAAAGTTATAATTGATTCTCGATTGTAAGAGTGATCTAATCTATGAATATATATATATAAAAAAAAAAACTATACAACTAGCTTTATAATACACTACTAATTTTTAATTATCTCAATTTATTTTTAAAGCTTCGTAGGCCACCGGTCTTTACTGTCTAATTACATTGTTTAAACAAACAGGAATACTAAAAAAAAGAAGTTTAAGGTGAAAATTAAAGTTGTTTATTACAAGCTCAATAATGACACATAACAAAACTTCAAGTACTTGAATGCCTATGAAGGTGCTTCTCCTCGTTGGTAATCCAATTCAAAAAGCTTCAAGAATGTGTTTATCTCGGTGGTTGAGAACACAATAAAGATATATACATTTAATTCTCTCTAGACTCTATAGTGTCACCAATATCTACGAAATCAGGCCTAGCATTAAGTCTACTATAAATACATCAATTAACATTAGCTAACATCATTTGGGCATTGGATAAGGTCATATTGAGTTTCTATTGTGTTAAAATTTATTTTGTTTATACCCAATGTATTTTATATGCAAGTATAATTGACTCGTGTCCTGTAGCGTTCATATCACANATTTGGCATTCATTAATGGTTGACTATATCTGACTTTAGCTAGCCACATTAATGCTCAATTAGCAACTAATTAAGGCTTGATGAAAGAAATTGAAGTGTGGTGCTCATTTAGGAATGTTGTTGCTACATCATCTCCTATAGATGTGCTATTCGAAAGTTATAATTGATTCTCGATTGTAAGAGTGATCTAATCTATGAATATATATAAAAAAAAAAAAAAAAAACTATACAACTAGCTTTATAATACACTACTAATTTTTAATTATCTCAATTTATTTTTAAAACTTCGTAGGCCACCGGTCTTTACTGTCTAATTACATTGTTTAAACAAACAGGAATACTAAAAAAAAGAAGTTTAAGGTGAAAATTAAAGTTGTTTATTACAAGCTCAATAATGACACATAACAAAACTTCAAGTACTTGAATGCTTATGAAGGTGCTTCTCCTCGTTGGTAATCCAATTCAAAAAGCTTCAAGAATGTGCTTATCTCGGTGGTTGAGAACACAATAAAGATATATACATTTAATTCTCTCTAGACTCTATAGTGTCACCAATATCTACGAAATCAGGCCTAGCATTAAGTCTACTATAAATACATCAATTAACATTAGCTAACATCATTTGGGCATTGGATAAGGTCATATTGAGTTTCTATTATGTTAAAATTTATTTTGTTTATACCTAATGTATTTTATATGCAAGTATAATTGACTCGTGTCCTGTAGCGTTCATATCATATATAAACCGTGTAAATTCATGTCTAGCCACATTTTGTACTATACATAACCAAATGGTGTCAACCTACTTATTAAATTGGCATTTCAAAAAAAAACAAAAAAACCACGGTTATGAATTCACCTCACTTTGTACTCTTTTTTTCTTTTTCTTTTTTTCACTTTGTTCTCTTAATTATTGATTTTTCCTTATTATCCTCTTAACTACTTGAATTGATTTCACATCTTCAAAAACAAAAGGTTCATCATGTTTTAGAAAGAAAATCTTCAATTGTGTAATACATGTCTCTAATTTATATTATTGGACAGTGTAAACCAACAATTATAGTTAAAAGTATAATGAAAGAAAATACAATAGAAAAATATAAATGACTAAATAAGAGCAGAGATGTAACTCATGCCCAGTTAGGTAGGTTGAGGGATTAACCAAGCTCAATTCAAGATATAAAACTTTCTACTTGAACCCAACTCAACTCAAGCTCAACCCAAACAACTTTAACTCGGGCCTAACTATAATTGAATTTTTAAATTCGGGTTGATCTCAAATTACACAATTCGGGTTAAACTCAAGTTAAAATTGAGTTTCTTCTAAATCAAAATTAAAATTGAAAAAAAAAGGTTGCATTTTGTGTTCAACTCTAAAATTGAACTTAAATTCTATAACTTTCATTAATTAAAATTAATTAAAAAACATAAAAATAAATTTCACATATGCAATAAGCTTAAAACATCAACAACAATGGATAAGGAGTGCGGGACAAATGTCTTAACATTTTATATAAATGTATGTTTGTTTGTAATTTTTTTTTTTCCAAATTTCAGGTCAAACCCTAATTTATAAATTCGGGCTGGATTCTAAACACGTCAATCTGAAGATCCAACCCAAGTATTATTTAAATCTAATTCGGATTAGAATTTTTTTGCCCAAACCCAACTCAAGCATTAAAAAACTCAAACCAAATATTGAAAAGTTCAGATTGGGTTCGGGTTCCCCAAGAAAGTGGGAATAATGTGGAAGGGGCATAATTTGGTGGTCAAAGTGTAATTTGCTCTATACACCTACTTGTAACCGCGCCAAGTACAGTTTTTTTAAGGCTTACAAGACGGTGATCATCTCTTTTCTCTTCTTAAGCAAAACACATACACATTAAGAGANATATAAACCGTGTAAATTCATGTCTAGCCACATTTTGTACTATACATAACCAAATGGTGTCAACCTACTTATTAAATTGGCATTTCAAAAAAAAACAAAAAAACCACGGTTATGAATTCACCTCACTTTGTACTCTTTTTTTCTTTTTCTTTTTTTCACTTTGTTCTCTTAATTATTGATTTTTCCTTATTATCCTCTTAACTACTTGAATTGATTTCACATCTTCAAAAACAAAAGGTTCATCATGTTTTAGAAAGAAAATCTTCAATTGTGTAATACATGTCTCTAATTTATATTATTGGACAGTGTAAACCAACAATTATAGTTAAAAGTATAATGAAAGAAAATACAATAGAAAAATATAAATGACTAAATAAGAGCAGAGATGTAACTCATGCCCAGTTAGGTAGGTTGAGGGATTAACCAAGCTCAATTCAAGATATAAAACTTTCTACTTGAACCCAACTCAACTCAAGCTCAACCCAAACAACTTTAACTCGAGCCTAACTATAATTGAATTTTTAAATTCGGGTTGATCTCAAATTACACAATTCGGGTTAAACTCGAGTTAAAATTGAGTTTCTTCTAAATCAAAATTAAAATTGAAAAAAAAAGGTTGCATTTTGTGTTCAACTCTAAAATTGAACTTAAATTCTATAACTTTCATTAATTAAAATTAATTAAAAAACATAAAAATAAATTTCACATATGCAATAAGCTTAAAACATCAACAACAATGGATAAGGAGTGCGGGACAAATGTCTTAACATTTATATAAATGTATGTTTGTTTGTAATTTTTTTTTTTTTCCAAATTTCAGGTCAAACCCTAATTTATAAATTCGAGCTGGATTCTAAACATGTCAATTTGAAGATCCAACCCAAGTATTATTTAAATCTAATTCGGATTAGAATTTTTTTGCCTAAACCCAACTCAAGCATTAAAAAACTCAAACCAAATATTGAAAAGTTCGGATTGGGTTCGGGTTCCCCAAGAAAGTGGGAATAATGTGGAAGAAGGGGCATAATTTGGTGGTCAAAGTGTAATTTTCTCTATACACCTACTTGTAACCGCGCCAAGTACAGTTTTTTTAAGGCTTCCNCGGGTTCCCCAAGAAAGTGGGAATAATGTGGAAGAAGGGGCATAATTTGGTGGTCAAAGTGTAATTTTCTCTATACACCTACTTGTAACCGCGCCAAGTACAGTTTTTTTAAGGCTTCCAAGACGGTGATCATCTCTTTTCTCTTCTTAAGCAAAACACATACACATTAAGAGAGATCTGTGAAGAGGAAGAGGAAAGGACGATGGCTGGAGGAGGAGGAGGAGGAGAGAGAGAGAGAGAGGGAAGGGGATTGGAAGTGCAACGATTGTGAGAACATCAACTATGCCTTAGAATCCGTCTGCAGCATGTGCAAACAGTCCCGCGATGGCGATGAAACCAAAATTCTGCCAATTACGACTGTTTCAATGGTTAATCTCACGAAGACGACTGAGACGATTGCCCTCCGCAGGTACGAAAACTCCTTCCTGTGATAACATTGTATAATTAGGGTTGACAATTTTTGATACAATAATCTGATATGAAATCATTCATTTTGAGCATTGTGGTTAATGGTGGGGCTGTCAATAGGCTATCTTGTGCGCATTTTGTAGAATTTTGCCGCAGTAGTTTGGCCATTGGACTTCCGNAAAACTCCTTCCTGTGATAACATTGTATAATTAGGGTTGACAATTTTTGATACAATAATCTGATATGAAATCATTCATTTTGAGCATTGTGGTTAATGGTGGGGCTGTCAATAGGCTGTCTTGTGCGCATTTTGTAGAATTTTGCCGCAGTAGTTTGGCAATTGGACTTCTGACAATGTTGGCTTCAGAATTGTTTGTGTTTGGCATGTGCTTCTAATTTTCGTATATGCCTTTTGGAATGGCCCTGCCCAGAGACTTGTTAGATGTTATATAACATTGTATTTGGTTTTATTATCAGTACATGCTGCTTTCGGTATTGTTTTGCCTCATATTTGCGTTATGATTTTCCACTACTAATGAGATAATATTTGTGGTTGAAAGCCTTGATAGAATATAGATGGTGAGCAAGTTTTGGATGTGTAATTTATGTAGACTAAATTAGGATAATATTACTCTGGAATTTCAATTGTTTGAGATTCCATAAACTAGACACATCTTAGGAATAACTCTCGCAAGGACTTAATGGGAGTAAAAGGGCCTTCTTGTGGACCAGACTTGGGTACTGCCGAGCCTGTGAGAATGACCTCTTTACCTTTGAAGTAATTATTTTTTAGTGTCAATCTTCTCAGTGAGGGTATGCTTTGTTATCATGATTTGAAAAGAGCATTTGAAATTCAACCCTGTTTTTATTTCCCTCCCTCATGGATTAGTTCTTTAATTTCTGATCTTTCTTTGAAGCAACTTGATATGTCTTCTCTACAAGCTTGTCTAAAACCAGCCATCTCATCGTGGATAGCAATGCATTGATCAGCCCATAACTGCTGTAAGGACTTCCTCTGCTTCATACACTTCTACCCTCAAGGACAACTTGTAAAACTTCTCAGTTTAGTCAATTTAACACTGTCATCACCTTGTTGAAGTCGATGAAATAGCACGAATAGTTTTAGTTGGTAGGCCATGCAAAGGAATCTACCTTCCAGAAGACTTTTATCACATCTCATGTGGCTGCTTCCTCTTTCCCACACCTTCTATTGTTGGCTTATTGAATTCTTGTCCATCACTTTTCAATTGCCCCTTTTCTCCTTTCAGTTTCTTCATGCCAAGCAAAAAAATTGTCCACACTAGAGAGCAGCCAATCAATAATATTTCTAGGTGCATTTTTCCATTAAAATCAAGTACATCTAATCAAACACCCTTGTGTATGACAGGTTGGTTTCTTGGGTACATAACGATGACCCTCATGATTTTCGGAGTGAGAAACCTAAAGCTGTAGTGGTTTGGTGATGTATACTACAAAAAGATGTATCAAAACTGAATTTTCAGATATGGTTTATTCAAATTAGGAAGGACTAGGACCATTACATTAGCGTTCCGGCAAATAGAGACCAAAATAATTAACTTCCCACAGATAGGCTTAATTCTATGAGCTTAGACCTGAGAACAGCAACATAAAATATAAAATAAAGAAACACATAGTCTCAATCTTTTAAGAGCAGATATATAGTTACATAGGACTTAATTTAAGGAATATTCTTTGCCCCAAAGAAACTTTCTACCCAAGTATTTCCTATATGAAAAAACAGACTTAGATAAATAAAAACTTGTGATAATTAGACCAAAAATTTTGACTCTAGACTTCTCCAAACTTAAAATTAAATCAGTTCAAACTAAGGGCAACAAAAATGCTGCTCTAACCAGCTTTCCTTACCAATTTTTTTAACACTTGCCGCAGCACAACCACAATCATTAGATATTAATGGGACCACCTAATCCAATTGTCTATATGAGTTGGTAAGGCGAAGGTGGTAAAATCAAATTCTTAAGAATAGCGTTGTTGTAATTCAAATCACTCCCCTATCCCTTAATATTTGCTTTGCCAATATGCATGGAGTTCAGCGTGCGAATAATTATGGAGTATGTCCAACTTCTATTTGGGCTCTTGCTGCTGGGAACCAATTTTCTAGTCTTTCGTATGGAAACCAAGCAGATCAACTTCTAACCGCTTCAAAAGGATGGCAGAATGGTGACTGGATCTGCACTTGTGGCTTCCACAAATGCTCTCCTCGTGCTCAGGTATGAGTCATATGACATTTCTGCAAAAGAATTCATGAGTCGAATATTTTACTTGCAACTTGTGTTTTAAATTCTGCTGATGATTAACTTATTTGCAATGATGATGCGTTACATGTGGCTTCTATCATTATTGAAGTGCCAAAAATGCTATTCTTATAAAGCATGAAATAAGATATCTTCTTCTATCAGAAAAAATTATAGGTCTGTGATGACTAGCTTTGTTTCAAATTCACTTAGTTGCTTAGAGATATAGTGTGAGGATTTAAAGAAAATTCCTTAAGTGCTCGGCTTAGGGTATTATCTAACTTTTTGACTATATTATGGTCTCAACTCCGAAGGATATGGATTATAATGAATATAATGACAATCAAGAAAATTATCACAGGAATCCATTTGGGAGTCTAAAAGACATAGTTGGATATGAGTGTTTCAACAAACATAAATTCATCTTCTTTTTTTTTTTTTTTGTGCAGAACATTGATATGAATTCATTGGGTAGTTGGGAGGATGGAGCGAATGGGTGGTCGGAGACCCTTTCTGAGCCCTCAATGAGTCAAAAGAAGATTCACTAGTGCCTGCTGATTGGTCAAGGGTGCTACTATCATGTGGAGCAAAGCGAGCATATGCGGTTTCAGGAGATCAAGGGGAAGAAAGACTTTGGAAGAATAGAGATCGTTAATGAGAAAATGATGAACGTTGTTGCTGGACTTGAGCTGCACACTGGTGTTTTCAATGCAGAGCAGCAGAAGGTGATAGTTGACAGTGTGTACAAGCTTCAAAAGAAGGGAAAGGAAGGAAAACTTGAAGGGCAATCATTTTTAGTCCAACACTAGTCAATTAGACTATCTTGTAATGCTTACCATATACCTTTAATCATTTCTAATATTTATAAACTAAATTTCTGAAGTCACAATAGTTTGCAAGTGATTTTTCCAATTAAAAAACTTATGGCTAGATAAGATTCTTCTGTGTAATATATGACACTAATGTCNGTTTTGGATGTGTAATTTATGTAGACTAAATTAGGATAATATTACTCTGGAATTTCAATTGTTTGAGATTCCATAAACTAGACACATCTTAGGAATAACTCTCGCAAGGACTTAATGGGAGTAAAAGGGCCTTCTTGTGGACCAGACTTGGGTACTGCCGAGCCTGTGAGAATGACCTCTTTACCTTTGAAGTAATTATTTTTTAGTGTCAATCTTCTCAGTGAGGGTATGCTTTGTTATCATGATTTGAAAAGAGCATTTGAAATTCAACCCTGTTTTTATTTCCCTCCCTCATGGATTAGTTCTTTAATTTCTGATCTTTCTTTGAAGCAACTTGATATGTCTTCTCTACAAGCTTGTCTAAAACCAGCCATCTCATCGTGGATAGCAATGCATTGATCAGCCCGTAACTGCTGTAAGGACTTCCTCTGCTTCATACACTTCTACCCTCAAGGACAACTTGTAAAACTTCTCAGTTTAGTCAATTTAACACTGTCATCACCTTGTTGAAGTCGATGAAATAGCACGAATAGTTTTAGTTGGTAGGCCATGCAAAGGAATCTACCTTCCAGAAGACTTTTATCACATCTCATGTGGCTGCTTCCTCTTTCCCACACCTTCTATTGTTGGCTTATTGAATTCTTGTCCATCACTTTTCAATTGCCCCTTTTCTCCTTTCAGTTTCTTCATGCCAAGCAAAAAAATTGTCCACACTAGAGAGCAGCCAATCAATAATATTTCTAGGTGCATTTTTCCATTAAAATCAAGTACATCTAATCAAACACCCTTGTGTATGACAGGTTGGTTTCTTGGGTACATAACGATGACCCTCATGATTTTCGGAGTGAGAAACCTAAAGCTGTAGTGGTTTGGTGATGTATACTACAAAAAGATGTATCAAAACTGAATTTTCAGATATGGTTTATTCAAATTAGGAAGGACTAGGACCATTACATTAGCGTTCCGGCAAATAGAGACCAAAATAATTAACTTCCCACAGATAGGCTTAATTCTATGAGCTTAGACCTGAGAACAGCAACATAAAATATAAAATAAAGAAACACATAGTCTCAATCTTTTAAGAGCAGATATATAGTTACATAGGACTTAATTTAAGGAATATTCTTTGCCCCAAAGAAACTTTCTACCCAAGTATTTCCTATATGAAAAAACAGACTTAGATAAATAAAAACTTGTGATAATTAGACCAAAAATTTTGACTCTAGACTTCTCCAAACTTAAAATTAAATCAGTTCAAACTAAGGGCAACAAAAATGCTGCTCTAACCAGCTTTCCTTACCAATTTTTTTAACACTTGCCGCAGCACAACCACAATCATTAGATATTAATGGGACCACCTAATCCAATTGTCTATATGAGTTGGTAACGCGAAGGTGGTAAAATCAAATTCTTAAGAATAGCGTTGTTGTAATTCAAATCACTCCCCTATCCCTTAATATTTGCTTTGCCAATATGCATGGAGTTCAGCGTGCGAATAATTATGGAGTATGTCCAACTTCTATTTGGGCTCTTGCTGCTGGGAACCAATTTTCTAGTCTTTCGTATGGAAACCAAGCAGATCAACTTCTAACCGCTTCAAAAGGATGGCAGAATGGTGACTGGATCTGCACTTGTGGCTTCCACAAATGCTCTCCTCGTGCTCAGGTATGAGTCATATGACATTTCTGCAAAAGAATTCATGAGTCGAATATTTTACTTGCAACTTGTGTTTTAAATTCTGCTGATGATTAACTTATTTGCAATGATGATGCGTTTCATGTGGCTTCTATCATTATTGAAGTGCCAAAAATGCTATTCTTATAAAGCATGAAATAAGATANGCAACTTGTGTTTTAAATTCTGCTGATGATTAACTTATTTGCAATGATGATGCGTTACATGTGGCTTCTATCATTATTGAAGTGCCAAAAATGCTATTCTTATAAAGCATGAAATAAGATATCTTCTTCTATCAGAAAAAATTATAGGTCTGTGATGACTAGCTTTGTTTCAAATTCACTTAGTTGCTTAGAGATATAGTGTGAGGATTTAAAGAAAATTCCTTAAGTGCTCGGCTTAGGGTATTATCTANTGATGCGTTACATGTGGCTTCTATCATTATTGAAGTGCCAAAAATGCTATTCTTATAAAGCATGAAATAAGACATCTTCTTCTATCAGAAAAAATTATAGGTCTGTGATGACTAGCTTTGTTTCAAATTCACTTAGTTGCTTAGAGATATAGTGTGAGGATTTAAGAAAATTCCTTGAGGCTTAAGTGCTCGGCTTAGGGTATTATCTAACTTTTTGACTATATTATGGTCTCAACTCCGAAGGATATGGATTATAATGAATATAATGACAATCAAGAAAATTATCACAGGAATCCATTTGGGAGTCTAAAAGACATAGTTGGATATGAGTGTTTCAACAAACATAAATTCATCTTCTTTTTTTTTTTTTTTGTGCAGAACATTGATATGAATTCATTGGGTAGTTGGGAGGATGGAGCGAATGGGTGGTCGGAGACCCTTTCTGAGCCCTCAATGAGTCAAAAGAAGATTCACTAGTGCCTGCTGATTGGTCAAGGGTGCTACTATCATGTGGAGCAAAGCGAGCATATGCGGTTTCAGGAGATCAAGGGGAAGAAAGACTTTGGAAGAATAGAGATCGTTAATGAGAAAATGATGAACGTTGTTGCTGGACTTGAGCTGCACACTGGTGTTTTCAATGCAGAGCAGCAGAAGGTGATAGTTGACAGTGTGTACAAGCTTCAAAAGAAGGGAAAGGAAGGAAAACTTGAAGGGCAATCATTTTTAGTCCAACACTAGTCAATTAGACTATCTTGTAATGCTTACCATATACCTTTAATCATTTCTAATATTTATAAACTAAATTTCTGAAGTCACAATAGTTTGCAAGTGATTTTTCCAATTAAAAAACTTGTGGCTAGATAAGATTCTTCTGTGTAATATATGACACTAATGCCTTAGTAGTCCTTATCTTCCATGGAAACTTAGAGGCGTTGTTTTGGGATTCACAAAGGGAATTACACAAAAGTGTCACCCTGTGAGCCATGATGTGTGCATTCAGCTGGTTTTGAAAACATCAGTGTGTTCCTAGCTGTCACACAGTAGATCAATGGACAAACTTTGGGTCTAAATTCAGTGTTGCTAAATATTTATGCAACCTGGATTGCAGATACTAAGAACAGGACGTGTTCAAGGGCACATGATTTGCATTCGCCGGCTATATCTTGTCCTGGAGACATATATTGCCATTCAAGCTTGATTAATTCTCGTTTATGTTGAATATCTTCAGCCTCCTTTATGATGGCATAATAGAGTTCCTTGTTTCATTGTTGGCTATATTCTTCAGAAGCCCGTTATATTTCTGTTCCATTCCACATTTTATTGGCTGAGAGCATTTATGGCCAATTCATTCCTCTGATAAGCCTCAAATTCATAAATTTGTGAAACTCAAAAGTGTACCCAACCGATGTTGATTGTGAAGCAAGAATGTTTTATTACTGGCGCTCCATATAGGGCTAGACTGTAAACTAAATAGTTTTTGTGTGACTTTGAATATCCTTTGTGTGTTATGTATTCAATTCCATTCGTCAAATGATGCAGTGTGCTCTTTGAACTTTTATTTTATTTAGTTTGTTTGCTCTTATTTGTATCCCATAATATGCTTTTATAGGCTTCAGTAGAGTATGCAATTGTTTACTGTTGTGTTATAAGCTTATGGGCCTTGATAAGGTTCATCCTTTGGAAAACTGAATACTACTGTGGTTCTTCATTTTTTAAACATTATGCTGAGCTGCTTCTGCTCCTCTCCTATAGTAGTACATAATCAGCATCAAATTTGTTTTCCTTTCCGCTTTGTTCAACAATTTGTTACAAGTATGGTTGCGCATTTTGCAAATCAAGGAGTTTGCCCTGAGAGTTGTTGTGATATTTCTAGAGCAGCGAAAGGCTTCTTGCTTATTAAAAAAAGTCAAGGCACAAAAGCACTCTACTTTCAATATGGGGTGGAGTGTCAATTCTCATAGCAAGGCTTAAGGATGAGGCCCCTTATTCTCACACTGACCTACACCCATGTCTACAGCAGCTCCACCAAGTTAAGACCTTCACTCTAATTGTGTCCCCTCGCACACCACATTGGCAAACTTCATGTACTTCAGAGTGCTCAACTTCTTCAATGGAATACCTGGTGTGGTAGTCGGTGGGTTATCTAAGGTATGAATCTGGCCCATCCTTATTTATCAATATAATAAAAAAGAAGAGAAAAATTATATTTGCCCCAACCTTTGTGGTGTAGAATTGACCTGGTGTTTTATGCAAAGGCATTCTTTGGCCCATATGTTGATGCTGCTATAGATTTCATGGTAAATTTCAGCCTCCTCTGTAGTACTGCGAGTTTTTTTTATGATGGAGCCGCACATGCACACTATCTAGGGATATAGAAGAAATCGAGATGCCAAGGTTGTTGTTCCCCTATGCCTGATGTGGAGCAATGGAAGCAGAGGAGTAGATGAAGGAAGTCGCATTGGCTAGGAACTAGATGAAGTGCGTATTGTCCGAGTGCTTAATTTTTTTGGTGTTAAGTAATCATGCCCGGAAAATATGGTTCAATTATAGAGGTTTAGGACAGTTTTTTGGATTCCTTTCGATCTCTTTCTTCCTTCTTTTGGACTTCGCATGTACTCGGGTTCGCCTCATTTGATGGCTTTTTTGTTCCTTATTTTACTTGCAGGAAAAAAAAAACCACAGTGGTACTATTCAAGTATTCGCGACCATTTAATAGTCAAACAAGTGTTGGTGCTGCCTGAACTGAATAAGAATGTTTATAAATTTTTGAGTGTTTTCTTGATTTGATATGCAGATCCCGAAATTAATCAAGGTGCACTATGATTAAATCTGCATATTGAAGTGGCTAAGCCTTAAAAATGGGAAGTTCTGTGGTAGATATTGTGGCGATATTGTGGCAATATTTTGGGCCCTGAGCTCCATCTATGTTTAGATTTGGCTTGGGCGGGATTGAAATTGATTGTTGGACTTTTGTTAGCACAATTTGGTTGTCTTTAAGGGGGGTCTTGAGAGGGGATAGCAATGAGTTGGCAGCTACATGATGTTCCGATGGTCTCTGCCTTTTAGATCTCATCTTCTATATTTCATACCCCTTCTTGCAGCTCCTCTGCTTTGAGAAATTCTAAAATTTCCATATAGTGTCTTGCACCTAAGACATGCTGGCATAGGATGACTGAAAAGTTTTTACTAGTGCAGTGTTGGGCACAGAAACACCACACGCACGCAGTTGCAAATTCACACACTTGCACACACACGCGCGCTCACACTTGCATACGCGCGCACGTGCAAGCGCGAGCACTTGTACATANGCAGTTGCAAATTCACACACTTGCACACACACGCGCGCTCACACTTGCATACGCGCACACGTGCAAGCGCGAGCACTTGTACATAGAGAGAGACATAGAGAGAGAGAGAGAGAGAGTTTTGGAGTTTGAATTAGGAGCCCGTCCTTTCTCACAAAACTTGGGTAACTAAGGAAATTCTGGATTGTTTTAAGCTTTGGTTGTTCTTTGTTCAACAACAAGGCTGAAATCACCAAAGTTAGTGGACTTCGAAATTTGACCAAATCTCTGATCATTCTGCAACATCCTAACATAAGGCTTCACTAGCTCTGCTCCTCTATCCTTTCTATAACCTCTATAGCTCACTGATTGAAATAATGCTTGTCAAAACTTCTGTGAGCACTGAAGGAAGAATGAAAAAAAAAAGAGAAAAGAGATCAAGTTAGAAGATTGTATGAACCAAGTCAACCTTGCTATGGTTACCCGTTGTANATAAGGCTTCACTAGCTCTGCTCCTCTATCCTTTCTATAACCTCTATAGCTCACTGCTTGAAATAATGCTTGTCAAAACTTCTGTGAGCACTGAAGGAAGAATGAAAAAAAAAAAGAGAAAAGAGATCAAGTTAGAAGATTGTATGAACCAAGTCAACCTTGCTATGGTTACCCGTTGCATTTACCAATAAAACCTAAAATATGGTTTGCAAATTTAGTTAATTATCCTAGGTGTGTCATGATCTTTCCAAGCATATTACTTCCTGCCTCCAGGCAATGAAATTCTGGATGATGCTTTTACTTGTTAATTCATTATGTCTCCGAGGGTTCAGAATTTCTAAAATTATTGTTCACAAATTTGTGTTTATAAGAATATGGGTGTTGTTTAATTAAAGGAGTTGAATCCTAGGATCTTGAATATGGATTCTTGCAAAAAAAAGACAGGTCTTAATAAAAAATCAATGAGAAGTTGAAGTTCCATGACATGATGCAAATGCCACCTATAGTTGCCAAAGGAAGAGAGGAAATTGGAGATTAAAGGTAGAGTTGTATGAAAAGTTCACGTCTAATTGTTAAATCTATAATAGAATCCCAATTATTTTTTAAAATGCAAACCTACCCTTTTTTTCTACAAACTTTTCAATGGGGCATGTTCTAAATAATGCTAAATTTCTCAAATTTTCTAATAGACCCAGATTTTTTAAAATTGCAGTGGGGGCAGCTGCCCCATGATAGATCTGCCCCTGATACTATTGAAAATAGGTCAAGTAGTTTGCTTCTGATTACACCATAGTGAACTGGTGTAGTACAATGGCGGTACAGTTAGACTGCTTCCCTTCATTGTTGGTTTTTACAACGAAAATGCAGTTAGAAGTACTCAACCATATTCAAAAGTTTGCTTGTTGGTCCTTTGAATCAGGAAAACCAGAAGTCTGTAGGTCTGAAATAGATCATTTTGCTTTTGTTACATTCTCCTTGTAGACATTGGCATTCATAGTCTCTGCTTTCCTTTCAAGACTCATCGCAACCACTGCTTTCCCATGCTATGAAAGATTGTTGAAGTGCTTGGGGTGTATTCTATAGGTAGCATCTGGGGTTAAGTTCAAGTATAACTTAATTAATTTGATATCTCTTTTTTTAACTTAATTAGATCTTGGTGAATTTGGAACTGAAGAGTACACGATTGTTATTAGTTTGTCATGAGCATCAGAACCTAATTAGAGGGCTTGTTATATATTTTCTACGCATGAAAGTAATGAATTCAGGTAGGCTTGCAAAAGTTCACCAATTAACATTGCATTGACTTCATAACAAACGTATATGCATTACAATTTTGCAAAAACAAAACTAAATTAACATTGTTTTAAGCTATGCCGTCAGATTTTCTACAGTTGCAACATTTGTATCGTTTTCTAACATAGCCTGGAACTTCTCGATCCGCTGCACATATGGAGTAATCCACCCTTTGGCCAGCTCATTGCGATGATCATTCCATAAGTTCGACACAGGTGGTAAAGGGGAGTCGAGAGTAAATTCAAGTCCGACGAAATGACTTGATTTGATGTAACCTAATCCGAGAATCCGATGGCTTGTTTCTAGAGGTGCTTGTTGACGGAGGGGGAGAAAAGTGAGACATTGCAGGTTTGATATGAAGACTACGACAATATTATAGCACGAGGCAATCACATGTCCCATATCCGGCATTATCAACCAATGTTCTCTATCAACATTAGCGTCCTCACATTGAGTGGAGTGCTTTAATTCGGCCACACCAGAGAATACTCGCAAGTAATCAGTTTCAAATGTCTCCAACTCATATAGTAGATCCTTCCTCACTTTCTTCCAACCATTGTCTTCCAAGTCCATGAACTTGGCAACCACTCGAAACCCACAATGTCCATCTCCGGGGACATCTATGACACTAGCAATGAAGTGCCTTACAACATCCGGGAACTGTGTAAG